GATCTTCGAAATGTTTATGAGATACCTCATAAATGTATTATATATATTAAAATAAACATTTTATGAAAATTTGAGATTAAAAAAAAAATGTTTACAGGTCGCTCAACTCGTTTTAAGAAAATTGACCAAAAATACTCAAAAAAACATAAAATGTCATTATTTATTCAATTTTTGTTCAAATTTCAATCTAAATTGTTCGTTTTTTAATGCCGAATAATAATAATTAGAAAAAAATTTGTAAGTCCAAAATTGATTGCGTTAAGTCCATAAAAAGCTCAAAAATATGGTAACCAAAAAAATTTTTTTTTTAATTTGATTAATATTTGTGTGTATTTTAAGAGGAAATATTTTTTTCTACTAATGTTTAAAACTACTATCTTTTTTTTTAGATTAGAACGTACGCTAGAATATACGATGTACATAAAAATAAATGAAAATATCAACATTGATGACAAAAAAATAATTTTTATTTTTATAATTATAAATATATATGTATGTATATATAGCTAATGCCAAATTTTAAAATAAAAAATGTAAAAAGGAAACAGTAAAATTTGACAATATTTTCATTTATTTTTATGTACATCGTATATTCTAGCGTACGTTCTAATCTAAAAAAAAAGATAGTAGTTTTAAACATTAGTAGAAAAAAATATTTCCTCTTAAAATACACACAAATATTAATCAAATTAAAAAAAAAATTTTTTTGGTTACCATATTTTTGAGCTTTTTATGGACTTAACGCAATCAATTTTGGACTTACAAATTTTTTTCTAATTATTATTATTCGGCATTAAAAAACGAACAATTTAGATTGAAATTTGAACAAAAATTGAATAAATAATGACATTTTATGTTTTTTTGAGTATTTTTGGTCAATTTTCTTAAAACGAGTTGAGCGACCTGTAAACATTTTTTTTTTAATCTCAAATTTTCATAAAATGTTTATTTTAATGTATATAATACATTTATGAGGTATCTCATAAACATTTCGAAGATCAATTTTTTTTGCGCCACCCTAATTATTTATTTATTATTTATCATATAAATAAACAAAATGAAAAATATTGTAAAAAAAAAAAAATAATATTAATAATCTCATTGCAAACGATAGTAATTGATCGATAGTAATACTGTTTTGATTGTTATAAAAATAATTCATAATACTGTTTTGTTGCACTGATCAACAAATTGGTTTGTATAAAGTTGTCATAGAATTTACATTCCAGATTCAGCAATGCCTTCATCGTCTAAATATAAAAAATCACGATTAATGTTTAATCATAAAAAAAATATATATAATTAATCAAATGCTATTAAGAGCGTGCTAGTTACTACGATGCACTTTAGTCTACCATAGTATTACAGTTCTACAGCTAGTTCTCAAACTAAATTATACAATATACATGTAAGTTATTAAATATATTAGTAGTGAATGCGCTAAATTAAGCTGCAAAAATGATTTTTATATTACTACATATCATACACACAACATTTCAGCTAAACTAATAAATAGTTATGGTTCACGTACCGCCGATTATTACACGGCAACTGGATTCATTTTCGAAGCGGTGTAAGTATGAAAAGAGCCGAACAATCGTATTAGTATTATTAGTTGTCTCCACATTTTTGTCTTACTGAATTCCGGTGGACATGTACACATATTGCTGCATACGCTTACTAGCTCACACATACACACACACACACACAGATATAAAAATAGAAACCCTTAAAAGTACACACTCTCACTTTTAAATAAAACAAGTCTTATCGAATTTAGTCCTCGAGTCGTCTCANTCGAACAATCGTATTAGTATTATTAGTAGTCTCCACATTTTTGTCTTACTGAATTTCGGTGGACATGTACACATATTGCTGCATACGCTCACTAGCTCACACATACACACACACACACAGATAAAAATAGAAACCCTTAAAAGTACACACTCTCACTTTTAAATAAAACAAGTCTTATCGAATTTAGTCCTCGAGTCGTCTCACTCCTCTTGCGTCGACAACTTGCAGACACCTAATTTACACATATACAAATTACACACACACGTACAAAAATATTACTTTTAGTTTTTTTGATTGCGTTCGTAGTCTACTCGTGAGATCCTTAAGTTACAATTTATAAACCCTAATGCGTTTGTCCTTCGACTGCCGCCGGTACCACCACCGGGGAGACCACCACGACACATTGTCTTTTTCGATACTGACCGTAGTGGTGGTGGTGATGGCGGCGGCAGTGCAGCTTCGATCGCTGCCGTTGGAAGTTTTCTCATCGGTGGATGTCGCGGTGGTCACCACGCCGTCGTAGCGGCGGCGGCGGTCGTTAAAAAAACCGAACCCTTCCCGAACTCTTAAATTTATTAATCCACTACTACCACCACCACCGAAACCGGCACAGTTTTTTTGACGCGACCATAAACGCTTTTCGGCGGAAGTCAGCAACAGCCACTGGACGACCAATGCCGACCTCGACCTCAGCAAGTCCATAGCCGACGTCGGTTTACCTTCGAAAGCCCGATTGTGGTGGGCGACTCCCGTTATCATCAACGTGCCGCCCTCGATCAGATCTTCGTCGTCGACACCGTCGCAGCCGAGACGGTATTGGCCGCCGCCGTACTGATACTGCTGCTCTTTCGACTGTTGCTGGTCCGACGAGAACAACGATTGCAGTACGGACACCACGCACTGGTGAATGCATATGTACTGCTGTTCGGTTTGAACCATCCACACGCGTTCCTTGCGCATGGCGTACACGATGCCGTAGACGTCCACGTATTTCAGGGCTACCACGTGCGGAGGAAGGAAAGTGCCCGGCCGATGCGGATCCTGGATGGACTGGAGAACGCGATCGAGAGCGATAAACGTTCCCGATCTACCCACTCCGGCACTGAAACAAAAATGGGATTAGTACTTTTATACGATTTCGAGAAAAAAGAAACTTTCGATTTAAATATAAAAAAAGTCGTATACAAACCTGCAGTGCACTATAACGGGCCATCGGTGTTGTGACGACTGTTCGGAAGGATTCATACCCGCGGAACCGCCGTTGATCCGATCTCTAAACGCTCGAACGAACCGACACAGGGTCTGGGGAGGACTGGGAACTCCGAAATCGGGCCAAGTCGTGAAGTGGAAATGTCTGATCACTCGCTTTTGGTCGTTCTAAACGGATAGTTAATTATTAAATTAATAGCGAATACGAGTGGATTGCTCGCCGATCTCGGACGAGACTGCCGCAGCCGTACTACACGACTTACTCTGCAAACCATGAATTCCGTTATCACGTAATCCGCATAATGAGTATCGTTCAGCAACGTCACGCAAATGCCACCGTCGCCACCGTCTCCGCCCCCGTAATAAGTGGGCTGAGTGTCGTACGGCCAGTAGTGATCGCACTTTTCGCGACCTTTCTCCACACACCGCGTGAGCATGACGATCGATCTGGTTCCCGATTCCCAACACATGCGCCAAAAATCGTCTCGGGTCGAGTGCAACGGTCCTTGAGTGACTATGAATTCCCGTACGCTGTTGTGACCCTGTCGCGGAATAACGAATGAATTTACATAATTTTTTTACTAAAAAAAAAATCTATATAAATATTTACAGGGACGTAGTTGGCGTTGATGTAGTCGGATCCTTCTTCGTCGTCGACGGGTTGCAGTTTAAAGCGGCTATGGTCGTACGGTAAGATGTTGGTGAATCGATTTTTGGGTCTGTTGCACGGTAAATCGGCGGCGGCGCAAGGTTGTTGACGGCCGACGTGCTTGAGCTCTTCGAATTCTTCGGAAAACCGGAAATCGGAATCGGCCGACATTTGAGCGTAGTGCTCGATAAATCTGTCGGCTCTCACGGGTCTACTGCAAAGTAAAGAAAAAAAAAAAATTACAAAAAACGATTACATCGGAGGTGGTGATTATTATTTTACCTGGTTTCCAAGTCGCAAGAACCCTGCCGCCGCAATGAATCTAATTCGGGGCCTCCCAGCAATGTGTTCCGTTGAGTGGGAAAAGCGGAATCGGAGAAAAATTTCGAACCCGCGTTTCTCCTCTGCTGCTGCTGCTGCTGCTGCTGTTGGCCTGCTGCTCCGTTGGCGTCGTTTCTTTTGTTTCCCGTCGAATTCTTGACCGCGTAGTTCTTGTACTTGGAATACGCCGCCACCGCTGCGCCCGATAACACCAATACGAATATCACGATGAACGCGATCGCAGCCGTAGTGCCGGTGCTGGACGTCACATCTTGATCTAGGAAAACGTAAAAAAAAAAGATGATTTTTAACGCGGCGATATATACAAAATGTGTAGGATATATTTTTAAGATACGTAATAAACGCGATTTGCACAATCGCACGACGTCCACACGTCGGAAGTGCAAAAACAAATTTAAATCTTTGTCATAAAACGCTCTGTGCGTAAATGTCGTCGACATTTACGCACACACTCGGTATTGTGTAGCCGGTGCTTTTTTTTAATAACCGAGTCTTGTCGGCCACCACCTACCGGTTTGAATCGGGAACGAGTAAGACGTGTCGGTGAATTTGTCGGCAGACGTGAACGCTCTTATCTTCACTCTATAAACCGTGGCCGGTTTCAACGGACCGTTGCAATAACCGGACGGCGACAGCGTTTTGGGCAGACCGGAATTGTAGTTTCCTCCGACGTTACAGTTTTGGTCTTGGCCGATGGTGAAGTCTTCGACGGTTTTGTTGTGCGAAAACGGCGTGTACGGTTCGAGAACCTGCGAAACATTTTTCTAAGTGAATTTCTACCGATTAGAGAGACAGCGTTACGAGTTCACGATACGATATTATCGTCCATCGCGTTATTATGCGTCCCGCGACGGAAACGACAACTCACCTGATACGGCGGCCAAGTCGAGTACGCCTGGACGTCTCTCCAACTCGGCATTTCCAGTCCGCTGGCGTTCTTCCCGTCGTCTTCGGCCACTATTACCGTGTAGCCGAGCACCGCTCCGTTCATTTCGCTAAAGTAGTTTTTGCGGAACCGCACTTGAATCGTTTGTTTGGTACGGCTCACTTCGGTCGGCACCGCTTGGGCACTGGGTTTTGGCGGAGCTACGGAAAAACCAATACGTAATTTAATCCAATGAAAANACCGATACGTAATTTAATCCAATGAAAATTCCACAACCCATTGCTGACGTACTCGGTGGTCAACACCAAAATATTGACACGCACGAGTTAATTACCGATTTTAATATAATAATACAGAATGTTCAGTAAATAAGGAAACAGGTTAATTGTTACAAACAACGAGAACAATAGAAACCCGCTTCCTTACTTACTGAACGCTCTATATATTATATTAAAATCGTGTATACACTACACATTATGTAGTATATGCATAATGGTAGTATATTAGTATTACACACATATAAGTATTGCGGCGGTACATAGAGTAATACGAACCTAGTATGGGCATGCGTTGGCGTAATTGCGCCACTCCGCCTCGTCCAGCTCGCGTCTCGCCACACACCGTGAACGAGTACACCTTGCCGGGTATCAACCCCGCGTTTGCTGCTCCTCCACGAGAATTGCCACCGCCTCCGATGCTATTACTGTTGCTGCTGCTGCTTCCTCCTCCGATGGTCACGCGGTTCCGCCACGATTCCAAGTAAACGGTTTTTTCGCCGTCGAGGGACGACGACACGTCGTCTTCGTCAACGGCTAGAGGCGATCGGGCGTCCGTTTGCGCACCGTCTTCGTCGTCGTCGCCGCCGCCACTGTCGTCTCCGCGTACTCTTCCTCCGACACCCGATGGACGACGGATTTCCTTCCACGACACCACGAACCGCAGGAGGACACCGTTGTGTTCGGACTCGGGCAGAGTCCATTCCAGAGTGAGTTGCTGTGGTCGAACGTCGGTGCCGATCAACCTCCGAGGAGTTGCCGGCACAGATTCCAGAGTGGCGAAAGCGGCCGACACGGGTACGCTACGTCTCAACACGGCGTTACTTATAGCGGTGGTGGTGGGAGCGGCGGCTGTTGACAGTGACGCGGCAGAAACGGCCAGAACGGACGACGTCGAGCCCGGTTGATGTGGAGGCGTACCGCCGGCGCGTACGACCACGGTAAAAGTGTAGTTCCGGTAAGGTCTGAGTCCGCGAACGTCAAACCACGGATCGACGGTCAGGTTTTGGACCAGAGTTGAACTCGAAGTGGACGACGACGACGAGCCGTCGTTGTCACCGTCCAGCAAGTATTGGATTTGAAAAGCGTCGTACTGGCCTCTCGGTACGCGCCAAGCCAACGTCACAGAGTCTCGTCCGACGTACGTGGCGTTTAGTTCGCTGATGGGTTCGGGATCTGTAAAAAAAGAAAAAATTTACATACAAACACAAATAAATTATTGCAGAGCGCAACAACAGAGTAGTCGACATTTTTTGTACACACAATACGCGAGTACACGCGCGCCCCTACAAGGTAAGGGGGTCAGTCGACGAACATTAACGTTGTATATAGTTTTAAAATACGATCGATGGGTTTTTTTTTCTATGAGAACGTTTCACGTTTGTGTACGGGGGGAGGAAGCTATCGTTTGCGGGGGAGCGAGACTCTTCATAAAATACTCGAAAATTCTTACACAATCGATCTTGACGTCGCAGAGGTTGACTGAGCACACCTTCGGCGGACACAGTCCATACGGTTATGTCGTACAGCTGACCCGGCGTCAATCCTTGCCAAGTGACCTTCCATTCGTTATCGGTGGCTAACTTTTCGGCGATTAGCGACTGCGTCGGCTTGCCGTCGCCGTCGTCCGACACGGAATTGCTGCCCGAAGCCAACTGGAAACGATATTTCTCAAAACGAGACGCCACTTGTGGAGTGGGCGTGTAACGAAGCGTCAGAGTGTCCGTGGTGTGTTGATCGTTGACGGCCAGCACTTCGGACAGTATGAGAGGCACTGAAAACAAACAAACAAAAAAAATGTGTAGAAAACGTGTAACACTCAAAATTAGAGGCTAACGTAGGGGGACGTTAGCTCCAAAATGTGTTAAAGAAAAAAAACGACGTGTTGTCTTACTGGTGTTGGCCGTCAGTTGAGTGTAATCGCTGTGCAGTCCATGCGAAGTGGTGCGAACGCGCAAAACGTATCTGGCGCCCGGGACGAGATCGTCCACGCTCAGACTTATTGTCGGGATTGGGGCGTTTTGTCCGCCGTTGGCCGTACTCGTCGTGCTAGTAGCAGTAGCGGTAGTAGTAGCGGCGGAACTGGTAGCACTAGAAGTAGCGGCAGAATCCGTGATATTTTTGGAACCGCCGGTGCTTCCGGCAGTGGTTATGGAACCAGATCCCGGTTCGGCCGATGACGGAGATCCGGCTATCGAACGATCGGCCACTATCCACCACTGAACGGTATAGTACTCCAGAAGACCCTCGGGACGGGGGAACGTTAGAGTAACGTTAGTGGCGTCGACCAAAAGAGCAACGTTGGTTATAGGATTGGGTCCTGAAAAAAAAAAAATTTAAAAAATGCAATATTGCTGAAAAAAATCAATATTTATTTTAATTACACGTTTCGTGTACCCACTACTAATATAAGCAGTAGCGTACGATAAAACGTTTGATTAAATATTTTACAATATCGACATGTGCGGCCGAGTAACGCGCAGCGAGTCGTTAAACGAACGGTGCGCGCAAAAGCGAAACACAACTGGAGCAATTTTTCGCCTTACTTATCGTGTAATTGACTTGCTGAGGATAAGGTGATTCTAAAGCTCCGTACGTCTGCGTGTTCACTTGAATCGTATACCTCTGACCGGCCGTCATGTCAGCTATTTCCGCTTCTTGAACGCCCGGCGGCACTCCGGGCAAACGTATCCACTGCGAGCTGTCCACCGTACGGTATTTGATGGAATACTCGGTGAAAACACCTCCGTCTTCGACGGGCCGGTTCCACCTGATCAACACGGATCCGACTCCTCCGACCGCCGCCGTCGCCGTGATGTTCTCCACTTGTAAATCTACGGGAGGACGCGGATCTAAAAAAAAAAAATCCCCGTTAACATTTGAACATTGAAGATAAATCGTTCTCTGGCCGCCGGGACGACAGCGACCAGTGATCGGTTCGTCCGGTACTTACATACGGCTTGGAAATAATCGTGAGGTTCGCTGAGCAGACCGTGACTAATGGCGAAAACTTTTATTTGATATGCGGCGCCGGGATACAAATGTTTTAAGGACACTCGCCATTCGCTAGTGATTCTCACCATAGGTATGTCATCTGAAAATATTAAAAAACAATTTAAAGTCGGATCGTAGACACCGCCCAATAGTGTACAGGGCTATGTTTTTCCTTTAAAGAGAAAACTCCCACCCCTCGGTAACAGAAATGTGTGATAACGGAAAGTTAAAAAATTCTTTTACTAAGAGTCGTACCGGTATCGTTTCGACGGCACACGACTTGGAACGTTTCTTGCCTACTATTAACATCGGTTTTCCAAGATACATTCAATCCATAGTCGATAGTAGGTCTTAAATCTTCAATGATTGGCGCCGAAGGTTCTAAAAATAAAAACATCAAGTTAATTCAACTGTGGAAATAAAATAATTATTTTTTATTAAATTTTATAAACTTGTTAATTTTTATCATTTTTTGAAATTTCTAATATTATAATTATTATACATTATAATACAAAGATTCTTTAATAATTATATAATAATATTATTATAATTATTAAGAATTTCAAAAAATAAAATAAAAAAATAATTGGTTTTATAGTAAAAGTTAAATATTTCATATATAAAACAATGAAAACCATTATAGAAATAAATTAATATTTTTGGCACGTTTTACATAATAGGAAAGAATAAAAATAAAATTAGATACTTTTTAAAATTTAAAAATACAAGTTATATCTTACAAAAAACAGTTAATTTGAAACAACTAATTTACTGAGCATTTTTTCATATCACAATATTTAATTTTTTTCTTATTTTTATAATTTAAATGTATTTAGAATGCCAAAACAAAATAGTAAACCGTCTAAGAGTCACATTTTATTTGTCTAGTTCTAAAATATCTTGTATCAAAATGTTTTCAGTTATTAACAACAAATAGATTTTTACAACTTTTTTTTTAAATTCACTGTTGTTAGTTTCTTTTAACCTACAAATTCAAAAAGTTAATTATTGTACCCCAAAACACATATAATGTACAGTTTGTACATATTCATTTAGTCAATACATAGAAAAATTACATTTTTTAACAACAGTATCTGTTTTATTGTATTAGTTAAATACAGAGCGATAAGTTTATCATAAACCATTCGATTACTCTCAAAATGAATATTGTAAACATTTCTTTTGATTTCTTTTAGTCGCATATATTTTTTGATTGATTCACTAATAATTACTTTTCAGAAGCATCCCTTACAACTTAAAGAAATATAAAGTTTATGTTTTTAAATATCAACATACATATTTAACTAGTTTGTTAAATAGAAAATGATTGTTCAATAACAACTTTTGTATCAGTACTTTAGAAGTTATTCTCATTTTTATACTAAATCGGGATGAAGAGTACAGTCGGGCAATGACTAGTGATAAAAATAACGGCAGCACTCACTACTCACCTCTAGTCATAATTTAAATTGTTAATTACTTTTGAAATATTGGTTCAAAAGTTGTTATCGACCAGTCATTTTTTTAATTAGATTATTTTCTATTTTATAAGAGTTAGTCAAATATGTATGTTGCCATTTAAAATATAAACTTGATACCACTTTAAGTTGTAAGGGATGATTCTAAAAAGTAATTATTAGTTGATCAATCAAAAAATATATGCAACTTAAATAAATCAACAAATTTTTTCTCTAATATTATATTTTGCGAGTAATCAATTGGTTTATAAAAACACCGATCCCCTGTATATTAGTTTGGAGAAGCAGCACAAGGAGAATGTAAAAAATACTCGTATACAGTACAATCATTATAACTCACTCATCGTATGATATACTATGGTCTCGTTGCTGGTTGCTAGCCCTACTCCGTTACCACTCAGGGCACGTACGGAAATGGAATAATTACGTCCAGGTAGTAGTGCGTCCAACGTACATTCGACTACGTTCAAGTTATTGTTGTTGCTTGATCCCATCTCTGAATTGCCCTGGCTGGCCGCCGATACGATTATGACGTTACTATCAGCCGCACCAGCTGAAGACTGTTGAGAAGATGAAGAAGATATGGCTTGCGGTTGTAGCAGTACTGCGCCTGGCAACGCTACAGCCGAAGTAGTTTCAGGTCCAATTGGTAGTTGACCAACACCAGCTCCAGCATTTGACACCACTTCGGTGTAGGCTACTTGATAAGCGTCTTGATAGCTAGCGGGATCTGGTTGCCAATGCAACGTTAGCACGCTATCTTCAACCCGGGCAATTTTCAAATCAGTGACGGGCAGAGGTTCTAGAGAAAATAGTAAAAAAATAATTGTAGCGTGGCAATCACATTTTTAAATTCGTATTTTCTCACTTAGTGTGACATTGACGGATGCGGGCCAACTAGCCACTTTTCCGGAGACAGTTTTAACAAGAACTTGGTATGTCCGACCAGGGTCAATGTCGTGATTCAGGTCAGTACTTGTCACCGTACGGCTAACAGTTATAGGAGTTGATTGTTGTGCTGGAACTATAGCTGAAGATTTTTTCATCGCCGCCACGGCATTAACGGATATTTGGTATTTGTCAAACTCGCTGAAAATAATAAGAAACATACTAAACTATCGACTATATAAAAATAAGAGTCTCGATCCTAGCCTACATACCAGAGGCCTTTAGGCGGATCCCACCGAACACGGACATTATATGATCCTGTCATTCGACCATCCACTACAAGATTTGTTGGACGCAATGGTATCGTACGGTATTGAGCGGTGGTAGGCGCTGATGTTTCGTCTTCACTTACAGTATGAACACTTATGTTGTATGCACGACCTGGTACCAACCCTTTAAATGCTGCCTGAGCCGGACCAGGAGGTTCTCCTTCTCGTTCTACGTACAACACCGATTCAGGGGAATCTGGAGGTTCTACGCTCACCTACAAATAAGAAATGAAAAACATTACTCGATTATATTTATAAAAACTTAAATTTTACAACTATAGTTTTGAATAACTATTTTATAATAAATAATTATTTATCGATTTATTATTTATAAATATTTAAAATATTTATTTTAGTTATAATAATAGTTGTGGTTGAGACATGTATAACTGTATGTTTTTTTGTTAAAAAAAAAAAAATTGCTCTGATAAAACCTAAAGAAATAAATTTAACTTTTTGCTCAATGGGTTATTTATATTTTTATAGGCAATTCAATTATAATTAACCAAACAAAGTCAGAACTCTATAACTTATTAACAGAGCTACAATGATAGGTATAACATATTCAGAAAATTTTAGAAAAAAATTAAGAAACTTTTTATTTAAAATATTTTTTTTAGAAAAAAAACATTAAAGAAAATGTTTTCAACATTTTTCTATTTTATCTGATTGTAGGTCAGGATTTATAATGTTTATACAAGTTTCAGTATATGAATTATATCATTCTGATTTTTGCATATTGCTAGAGACAAGAGAAATGTTATTTGCAACTATTGTAAATGGTATTGGTAATAAAATGATTCCTGTTTGCTGCATGAAAAACCGGTTAAAAATAATTTTTATGATTTTGGATAAAAATAAGAATATCAACAAAAAATTCTTTTAAAGAAACATAATTATTTAAAAATTATTCACTTGGAATAGTCAGTTAAATGTAATATATTACACTTTTCTTCCTTATGATAGTTAATTATCAGTTAAAAGAAGTCTTATAAGAATTGATACGTTATTTGTAGGCTCTATATTCTCTTCTTCTTCTTCCTCGCCTTAATCCCAACTACTTGAGGTTGGCCACCCTTATCTTAAACTTCTACTTGACACAATCTCCCACATCCTCTACGCTCATATCAGCTGTCCTCATATCGCATTCAATAACATCTCTCCATCTCTTTCTTGATCTTCCTCTAACTATTCTTCCTTCAACATTCATTGCTACAACTGTTCGTATGACTTCAGATTCTTCTCTCCTCATAAAATGATTATTAACCAAACCATCTAAGTCTATTTTCTTTCATCTTAGGCTCTATATCATATTTAAATTTAATCTAAATAATTAATTAAACAAAAAGTTGTCATTAAATTAGAGATTAAAAAAAAAAATTATTTGGTGTCCTATTCATTTATTCTGATTTTAAAGTTAGTTAAAATACATTTAAAATTAAAATAAATAAAACTAAAATATCTATACAATAAGAATGTCACTAGTGACTAATATTCTTTAGTAATTTTTGTAGTTTTTGAGTTAAATATTGTTTATATTTGTTTAAATTAATACTTTAAATATATTTTTCATTTAAAATAAATAATATCTAAACGAAAACGAATTTCTTTACTTTGTAATGAGTGAATACACTGGCTGGATAACTTGGCTGCCATAGAACGAGAAGTGTAGTTTCATTACGGAACCATACAATAAATTTTCCGGGTGTACTAGGTTCTAAAATCATAGGTCAAAATTTTAATTACTGGGTTATTTAAATTACAACAGTAACAGTATAAAAAGTATATATTACTTGTAGTGAAATTTCGTGATATATATGCTACACTCTCTTTACGGTCATAAACAGCAAATAGTTGAACTTGATAAGTGGCCCCAGGGGTCAAATCTTTTAAAACATACTGTTGTACTGCTTGCTGTTGCTGTACATCACTTTTATCGGAATCATTTGGGTTTGCATTAGGAACTAAAATCACCCGACCAACATTTTGTTCCGACGCAGGCAACGAACTCGATAATCCATTTATCTAATTTAACAAATAGAGTACATAATAAATATAAAGTTATAGTCAAAAAGTGTTATTGTGTAAAAATAAACTTTTCATAAATAATTTTTTGTTTAATAAATAAATTAATTATAGAAGCTAAAATTAGACATTTATTAGAAATTACTTTGAGCTTAAAACTATCATAGTTGCCTGAAGCGGGTGGTGTCCAAGTTACATGAGCTGTTTTACCGCCTTTTACTTGCACAGTAAGATTTGTAGGTGGATCAGGAGCTAAAAAATTAAAATTAAATTATTTTTACATTTATGTATTTTTTTAGGATAACATAATTTAATATGTTGCAATTTAGTGTAATCTCAAACATGCAATATGTAATGGGAAATACATATTGAATATAATTTATGACTAAATCTTAAATATTTCTTTTTATCAAATTTTTCAAGGCCATTAAGGACCATATGAGCCTTCCCCAGAGGAGGAAATTTCTTTTATACCATTGATACTCCAGGACAGCTGGTTAGTCTGTTGCCAGAGAGAGAGAGAGAGAGAGAGAGGAGTGATAACTCTTATTGCCAAACTGATCTCTTGCTTGACAAATGAAGCCGCTCGTAACCAAGTGCACATCAGACACTGGTGCGTGACCAACTCGGCCACGCCATTCTTCTTAGACTCTGTTAATTTTTATGGGACCTTTACAAACCATTATATTTGTAAAATAGATTGCGACAATATAGCTAACATTTTTTATGAGTTTAATAAAAAAATTGAATTATAATTGTATTAATGTATTGTATTATGTGTGTGTGTGTGTGTATTCATTTTGACAGCCAAGACTAGCCAGCATACAACACATACAAATAAATAAAGTACAAGCCGTATAAACGTAAAAATAGATGAGTTGTTTTTATTTTTCAATTACCCGTTGTAATCGATGCTGTCCAGGTCAGGAGCCAATTATTGTTTTCCGTGTTGTTACTATAGTAAAGCCAAAAATCGTACCGGGTTCCTGGTAGAGCTTGTGAAAAATGTATCACATCGCCTAGATGTCAAAAAACAATTTTTTAGCACTATAAACAAATATTATCGACAACATGGCTCAGATAACATGTGTATCGTTATTTTACCTATATCTCGAGACGCTATTGTGGTGTTGGCTGGTGGTTGTCCATACGGAGGAGAGTAGTCCAACCTATACGATCCACCAGTTACAGACGAATCTCCTTGTCGAGGCAATTGTATAGCGAGGTCAGCGCCAAACTGTTAAAAACAATTGAGGAATCAACAACAGTTTTTGAACAAAAAGTAATATCGGACTTACAGTTAAATCGATGATTATTGCTGCTGTTATCACAAGTCGCACAGTGGTTTTATCCATGGTGAACGATTTGATTTTTGAAAATTACACCGGTGCAAGACAACGAGCAAAATCAACAACGCGCGAGTGGTGGTGGTAAAATATTTTCGAAAGATCAACTGGGGTTTGCAATAATAACGCGGTACCGTCGTCGGTAGACATTATTGAAATTATTCTCCATCACGTTTGTTTCTTCGTTCAATAAATCGGGTAATTGTTCGAGATAAACGTATACTTTAATTTCGTCATTTTTACATTAAATATGTGAAGATATTTTTTACAGAACGTTCATTTAATTCGAGTCACCACAAAAGTTTGGTTTTCTAATACTGTACTGTTGTTTTTTACGAAAATTGCACACGACAGTTGATACGAGTGATATGAGAATGTTATATAAAAAAAAATTAAGTTAGAAAGTTATTATTATAATACTGTNATGAAAATTACTCCAGTGCAAGACAACGAGCAAAATCAACAACGCGCGAGTGGTGGTGGTAAAATATTTTCGAAAGATCAACTGGGGTTTGCAATAATAACGCGGTACCGTCGGCGGTAGACATTATTGCAATTATTCTCCATCGCGTTTGTTTCTTCGTTCAATAAATCGGGTAATTGATCGAGATAAACGTATACTTTAATTTCGTCATTTTTACATTAAATATGTGAAGATATTTTTTACAATACGTTCATTTAATTCGAGTCACCACAGAAGTTTGGTTTTCTAATACTGTACTGTTGTTTTTTACGAAAATTGCACACGACAGTTGATACGAGTGATATGAGAATGTTATATAAAAAAAAATTAAGTTAGAAAGTTATTATTATAATACTGTGACACACTACTATTGTCCGTCACTAAATACCACTCGTGCAATGTGTAAAAGTACACTACAAATAAAAAAACAAACCCCACTACAATCAAATAAACAATGTGTACATTTACTTTCGTAATCACGATTCACAAATCAAAACTCACAACCATATACCGGACTACAGATCTCGGTTATAAGGTATGTATAACCATGTCACAGACTATATGTGATACGGTCCGTGACCCGAAAAAGAAAGAGTTTAGATCATGTACACTAAATGAACTCACTCCGAATTTAGTCTGTTACGACGTTGTCGTCAGCATGAATTACAAAAGTGTAAGAGCCTCCGCGATTTCTACGTATGTGCTAAATTGCTGATAACAATTTAATATGTGATACTATGATTTGTATGCATTCAAAAGTTTTGAACGTCATGATTTTATTTAGTTTTTCTCATTTAGATATTATTTAGTCATTTTTACGTTATTTCTATTTATTATGTAACATACATATTGCACACGATGTCAAATGTATTACAAAAAAAAATTTTCAGCTTCCAAACTTTGTTTAAAAATGTGAGACATAAAAATCTTATTACTGAAGATGCTAATACCAATTTTATGGTCAAATATAATATATTTGAAGTACATTTTTATTTGAAATATTANGTATAATCAAAGAAAGATTTAGTGACAAAGAAAGAGTTTAGATCATGTACACTAAATAAACTCACTCCGATTTTAGTCTGTTACGACGTTGTCGTCAGCATGAATTATAAAAGTGTAAGAGCCTCCGCGATTTCTACGTATGTGCTAAATTGCTGATAACAATTTAATATGTGATACTATGATTTGTATGCATTCAAAAGTTTTGAACGTCATGATTTTATTTAGTTTTTCTCATTTAGATATTATTTAGTCATTTTTACGTTATTTCTATTTATTATGTAACATACATATTGCACACGATGTCAAATGTATTACAAAAAAAAATTTTCAGCTTCCAAACTTTGTTTAAAAATGTGAGACATAAAAATCTTATTACTGAAGATGCTAATACCAATTTTATGGTCAAATATAATATATTTGAAGTACATTTTTATTTGAAATATTAAACTTTGTAAATTAAGTCGCTGTATTGAATTTTTTTTGTGATATTTAATGTATTCTAAATTGTCAATTAAGACTTATAATATTTTTAAAGGCAGTTTACTTGTAATATTTTGATTTTTGTATTTTTGGTGTTGTAATTTATTAATTATTGATTTNGATTTTTGTATTTTTGGTGTTGTAATTTATTAATTATTGATTTAAAAATGGTAGTACAATGTGGATGTGGCATAGTTGGGACAAGTATTGATGATATCTGACAGTGATCAAAATCATGATCTTAAGAAACGCTTTGATGCATATCTATAGATAATATTTAATTTTAAGATTTTGGTAGATTATTCCAAAAGCGTAATTAAACTCCTATTTCCTTATTTATATCCTGATTACAAGTTATATGATGTATAAAATTGTTCAACTTCGACGGCCATTTGCACATAGAAGATAGGTCGTCCGGACATTTTTTTTTTAACTTATAATACGTGACAAGCTTTAATTTAAAAGATACAGTATTTCCGGAACACTTTCAAATGTTAAGTTGAAAAAGTTCTGCTTTTTATACGTATGTTTTAAGTATTTGAACGCCTTCTTTATAAGGGGAATTGTCTGATTGAAAAATATTTTCAGGAAACTACAAAATTTACTAAATATATAAATAACATATTTGATGCCCTTAATAGGAAATTATCTGCAGAAGAAGTAAAAAAATATTGAGGTTTTTTATGTGTTCATCAGTGTTTTTGTTTTGTATGTTAGCCATTTGTATTACATGTTAAATAATTTTGTGTATCCATTTTATTTATTCTTGTGCTTTTGTTCTATTTTCTTTGTATAAAAAAAATAGTGGAATTTATTTTTATTCAAATAAATTGTCATTATGATAATAGTAACTTTTTGTATGTATAAATTTTAAAAAGCAGTTTTTTCTTCTTTTTCCTCGCCTTTAAAAAGTGGTTTATAATAAATAAAAAAATAGTAATCTAATCATAAAAAAAAACTTATTAGTGATGGAGAAGTTTTAACAGACAGTAGACTTAAAACAATACAATTGACTTGATTTAGTAAATATATAATTAGACGATTATGAGTTTCATTATGTTTTGACTGCTAAATTAGTAATGTAAAAACATCAGTTGACATAATAATTCTTGCAGTTATTAATATATTATAATTAATGACACTACGATTTTTTCCAGTTATATAGTTAGAAGACTTGTTAGGCAAACAAAATTCGAATTGTGTATAATTGACTTGAAAATTAATTAATTTAAATTCAAGTTATGCATCTGGTAAAGCAGAACTAATCAACTTGAAATCTAACTTATTAATACATCATAACCAGAATTTGTTATGTTGAAAAGTTTGACAACATGTTTTGTTAACACATCCCGATTCAATTAATGTATTTGATGATAAAACATATTCTGAATTTTTAGATACTTATGAAACTATTATTTCCGTGTAATAAATACCAAACTAATATTTTGACAAATATATATATATATATATATAAACATATATGCAGTACTTTTATAATTATGAGAATGAGACAGTACATACATAAAAATCAATTGGAAAATAAAGTTATCAAAACTAATCATATAATAAATTGTATATATTTGATTATAAATAAATTATTATTAAGGTTTATATTTCTTTATTTATTATTTACCTATCAGATCTCATTCAATTTTATGACGTTTCCTACAACTAACTTAAAAATCGGAACTTTTCAATTTATTTCTGTATTTGAATTATGATGATAGAGATCTAGGAATGCTGTTATCTGTTCTACTTGTGTTATGATAATGAAAAAACTTTTTGGGTCTTGTAATCATATTTCGTTGGGTAACCATTGTAATGATACAATTATCAACCTTGAAGTTAAAACGTAGTATTGTAGATCTTATAAACTCAGCGGATAGAGTGTTAAATGACCTACAATAATTGTTGTACCCTAAAAAATGTATTAATAAATAAGTTAAATGTAAAATTTTACTTAGTACTAGAGTTAGATTGTTTTATGAAATAAAACTAAAAATTTACAATTCCAATTACTCATTGTACATGTTTTTATAATATTTATTACGTTATCTTGATTACGGTTATTATTTAGTGCGAGGCCGGATCTAAATTTTTCAGAGGAAAAGTATAATTATTTTATTTATACGTCTAAATTAATTTTTTGTCAATCTTTAAATTCAAAAGACCTATTTTCCATTGTTTTAAGTAACAATAGTTTGAATATTAGGGAGCGACCTCCTTGTATTCGTTTCTAATTTAATGTACAGTACATCATTACTTTTATACAATAAAATATTGAATTCTCTATGAATTTGTTAGAATTTATTCGCTGAGAAGTAAAAATTTGTCAGTTATTAAGTATATGTTTAACATTTAAAAGTATACAGGGTGATTTTTTTATCATAACCCACTCAATTACTTACAGAATAATAATAATTAAAAAATTTTTTTTTATTATTATCTTTAGTTACATATTATTCTTGAATTTTTAACTATGTAATACTTTTTAAGTTCATCCCTTATGCCTGGTAAGGGTGTCAACTTTGTTTTTTAAATGGTAACACATATTTAATTTAATAAAATGTTTGAGTTTTTAATTTAATAGTAAATGGCATTTGAATTTTTAATAAAACTTTATTTGTTTATTAGATATAAACATTTAAAGTTTCAAAATTTTGAGTTAATATACAGGTATAATACACAAGGGATAACAAATATAGGTTTATAACATCCTCATGCCACCACTATGTTTCCTTGTTTCCTGGCATTCTACTCCTACTCTCACCAACTATTCCACAAATCATTTATGTCTCCCTCGACATAAATCTTGTATCTTTAGATAATTAAATAATCCGTTGATCTAGTTATGTTTATGTCTACAGTGTTCGATTGTATTTATTGCTCAACTTCTTTAGTTTCCAGTTATTTACATGAATAAAATCATTACAATTCGCTCCTATGCTATTGTATTAAACTGAACTCATCGCTCGTATTGCTAATACACCAGTACTTTAAAATCAATCGCTTACCAGTTTTGTTATGCCAACCAATAAGTTTCATCGGTTGTGTGCCATAGCTGTTAAGGCAGTTTACGAAAATATTATTTCTGAATTCAATTTTTGATTATCTTAAATGTTTAGGTCGGTTTTCTTACGTATTTATATATTTCTATCATTCATTGTGTAGAAAAATTATGATAAAAAGCTTATAAAAATTCATTGTACAATTTTTCTAGTTTAGCTATACAGTGCTGAATTTCTTGTATGGGTATTCTTGCTTTATTACAAAATATTATAATTTCTCGTATTGCAAGACGAGCACGCTCATGAATATTTAATTTGACTACAGGTAAGTTGTAAAAAAAAAATTAAAAAGTCTGCCTAATAGAAGGCAATTTGCTACCAGTAATTTGGTTACATTCATTACCTAATAAATAAACATTATTTCTAGTTCTAGAACTCGCCATCATAAAAATTTACGAAAATGTTATCAGGG